TTTTTAATTATCTTGAAAATTATCAATGTTTTAATATCTTAAAAAAAGAAAGATAAATTTGACATTATTAAATAATTGTTAGAATCATCTTTTCGATACAAATAAATGTAGAAATTTTGAAAAGAAATATTATATGACTGTCAAACAACATCAAAAATAAGTCGGAAAAATATCAATGACTATAACCAATTAGAGTATGCTAATTATAATTGGAAAGCAATGCAATTTAGAGGAAGAGAGGGAGGAAGAAAGAGAGAGGGAGAAAGCAGGCGTAGCAGAGACCGCATATTTTTGCTAATATAGGTCGTAGAGCAGTTTAGTCCAGAGCACTGTTTGTATTTTTTAACAATTCTCCAAAAACAATAATAATTCTTTCACGTTTATGTTAATCAAACAGCGTATTAGTAGTGTATCACATTACAATTTATTGTTATTTTATACAATTTTTTATACAATTTTAATAAGATCCAATTATGAATTGCTTATTTCGTTATAATAAAGTATATGACTTTTGCGAGAGATTGCCATTTATATTTTTCGAATTAAAAGCATTATTTCGAATATTAGCACATGCGCTTTATTATATCGTTTATAGGAAAGAGAAGGTATACGAAAATTTCGCAGTAACGCAGACGTTTATTTTTCTTTCGCCATGCTGAAGCAAGCAACAGTCACTCATCTATTTATAACGCCACCGCACTAACCACCATCCGCCGAGTCTATTATCGCGTATAAATATGGAGCACATAAAAAGAATGCTGATATGATGCATGGAACGCTTGAAAAGATTGTAAGGAAAAAATAGAGCTGGAAATCATTGATCCATCCTGTCGGCGTAAATGCAAAATCGCATGCACACACGAGCGGAAATTACGTAATCTTTTGATAGCAAAATTTTCTTGATTAGCTAGCGTTTCTCTATCTCCCCCTCTGTCTCTCTCTCTCTCTCTCTCTCTCTCTCTCTATATATATATATATATATATATATATATTTATTTATTTATATAATTGCATTTACTTTTATTATAATGTATATATTATTTTATATCTTTAAAGTTTAGTTATCACTCTCTTAAGTTTAAAACAGCGAACAGATAATCGCTGCATCCAGTTCCATATTATTCACGATTTTAATACCTTTAAATAATCTTGAATAGACAGTGAGAGAAAGAGAGAGAGAGAGAGAGCTGGACGTTTGACAAAGGATGAAGCTTTGATTTAATTTTCATAATTACGTCCGTCGTTGTAAAATGATTAAGCACGATTGAGCTTTACATGCGTGTCTTCCTAAGATAATTCGAAACTGCCATAAATTTGAACGTTGAAAACCTAAAAACGGGACAACAACTTTTTATTATGACGAGGTCAGTGTATGCATAATCTAAATAATTACAGATGTAGATTTATGCGATATGTTATGCAACGCGCAAAGTGTTCGTCATCCGCCAAAATGGAGGGAGAAAAGTCGTCGAACTTGTCGCGTGTATAGCTGATGTCTCGCGAGCTTTCTTGAAATAGCGAGACGATTGCAAGATGAATGGCCCCAATGCGATTGCTTTTAAGAGATTGTAAGATCCGTAAATCGTTTCATTTAACGAGATCGCTTCACACGATCACAAAAAATATATATTCTTGGTTAATGATTTTCTGTCAACAAATTGATTACCTGTATATTAATAGAGTATTCTTCAATATCATCATGATATTGAATAGCCTAGTCGATTTACGAAAGAAAGATGAGTTTTTTCAAATAAAAAGAATTGTCACTATCTTTATATAAATGCATAAGGATATAATTGAAAAATGACACAGCAATAATACACACATTCTTTGATATTCTATAAAAATTCTTCACATAAAAAAAGTCATTCATATTTTCCATATTTTATATCTTCAATAAGCAGAGAAAAAATTGTTTCTTTATATCTTTATATCTTTATGTCTTTATATCTTCAATACACAGAAAATTTACATACATATCATTTTTATAATTATTTTTTTGTATATGTAAACGATAAAATATATAATTTCTCTTTCTCTCTGCAGATGGCAATATCTCTACTAAAATAAACTAAAATATAATAATATCAGAAAATCAATATTTTATCATCTCAAAAAATGCATTGCATATGCTGCTTTATGGAACTCTCAAAAAATTTATGAAAACTTTAATTATAAATAATATTATTCTCATCTGTCACGGATCATCACGGATCATCGAGTAATTACTTTATCGTAATGCAAAATGCATGTAATTTCGTATTTGCATGTAAGCAAATATGTGCAACATAAATATAACTTCAAGATTTATATTTCATCAATATCTAAGATTTACAATCGCGTGATACATGCGCCAGATTGTTTTACATATGTTGATATATAAATCATTATAAGAAAAATCAAATGCCATTGGACAGGCCATTATTTCTCCAAACGCGTCAGGTTTCAGTGAGATACGAACGACAAATGGTCCGAATAATGGATGGATTTTCGAGAATATGCCCTTTATATATTGGGAAGTGTCCACGAATATTCTGATAAATCTCTCAAATTCTAGTACGTACATTTTTCAATTAAAAATTTAAATATATATTAATTTTCCCCCTTGCTTTAAAAAATATTTAATTTAAATTTATTTATTTGCTTTGTCTTATCAAAATCATGAAATTGCATCGACGTTTATTCAATTTATAACATATTTTATTAATAAAGTGAATATTATAAAACATCTATTAATAATAAAATTAATTATTAGTAATATTATTAATACTATATTAAGTATGTTTTAGAATATTGTTTTTATTTTTTATAAATATTTAATCTGAATATTTCTTTTAATTTATTAAAAGAAATATTTCAATCACTTATATATTATATATACATTTTTTATGATCATAAAACAAAAATTTGCGATACACTCAAGTACTCTAGGTTTTTTATTATTCTAATTGTGTATATAAAAATATACTATCTACAGTCCAGTCAGACGTCACATTTTACGTATAAATCATATTCAAACAATTAAGTATTATGCATTTTATATTACGCTTTTGTCGGCATTAAAATAAGATTCATAAAACTGAAATTTCGAAACTTTCTTGAAAGCTTAAACTGTTTTATTAATAAGTAAGATTGGATTTGCAAAATTCTATTCTTTTTTGTTAAAAATATTAGTGCGGCGTTCAATCGATAGATTAAATATTCGTGTTACTTGACAGATAATAATGATGTGACTACAAAGAATAACGATTTTTTTTCTATACAGTATAAAGCTTTGCTCTATCAAGCACGACAAAATGCTCGCATGCTCATAAAAGATTTAAAAGGGAAAGCCCAACTATTCTTCGTCCGATAAAAATATTTTTCATAACACGTAAGTACATTTATTGACATGCTCGTGGATGGATCTTGATACTGAAAAATTAAAAAAATTGTAGAATAAAAACAATTGAAGTATGTGTATGTAAAAATAAAATAAAATATATTTAAATATACCGTGCATGTATAAATGTTATAAATAAGTAATAAACAACATGATAACAATAAAAAAGTAATAACAACATTAAAACAATAACATAATCGTACATAAATTCTAAATACATATAGAATATTGTAAGAATTTCCAGATTCGTTTACTTTGTCACGCATATTGAAAAAAAGGCTAATTATAATTGCATAATAAAAAAATTATAGTTGAGATTTCTATTTTTATAGTTATTACTACTTAATAATAATCATGTGCGTAGTAATAATAACTTTAGATATGATTGTCGCTAAAAATAACTATATATTTATATATTATGATAATTACTACTATTTTTTATCAATGCATGTATACATAATGCAAAAAAATCACATTATAATTTCATTGCAATTTCTAAATTTGGACAGTCCGATCCAGTTACAGCTGCCATATCATTCGCAATTATCTATTGAGTGTCATCGTTCAGGAAGATTTCAATTTAATTAGGTCATATTTATCATTGTTATCTTATATTATAAACTCATTGATACATCTCATCGTTTTCCTAAAATCTCTTCTCGAGAACGAAAACATAGATTCTCTCCTTCTCGATTTTATGCTGCTGTGAGCTGTAGCAGAACACGCTTGCACAGGAAACCGCCCTATAAAGGCGATCCAATGTAAACCGCAAGCCCCATTTGTTGCTCGCAAGCTCGCGGCTGCCGACAGCCGAACCGCCGGAGCTTTGTCTGTTGTATTTTCGTTGGCACAGTACCGGTACCGCAGCGGTGCACCGCGGCCACGCAATCCGGAAAGGTCAGCCAGCGTCATTATGTACGACTCGTATAAGACACGCGCGCGAATTGCTTGGGTACATTGGGTCTTTAATCAGGCGCGATACTTTATCGGTCACGCGAGATTTTTTGAGATGATGTGAGCTGTGCTATTGACGCTTCGAGAGTAAATGATTCTCGTGAATATATTGTGTGTGCGCGAGAAACAAATATTTTAATTAAAATCTTTTCAAACATAATTAATTATAGGTAAAGCGTAATCGTTTGCGTATTATTTCTTCCGCGGATAAAGTACGTTTAATATATTATATGCGAATTAAGTAATATTTCAATAACGATTTTTCAAAATAAAATGTAATACAAGTTGAGAATTGTTAGACATCTGAAACGTATAATATTGGGGAATTATGGGGAGACACATTTTATTTGATTCTTGCTAGAATTTTATAAAAAATATTTGAAATTAATTCTCTATAATAAATAATCTTCAGCAAAAATTCAATGTTATTCCTCGATCACTATATTTCACCGTTCGTGTTATAAATGCGACACGATAAAGATAAAAGATAAAAGATAGATATTAAAAAACGAATAATAAAAATTATATTTATATCAAAATATAAAATTTATTCGTAAATTAATAATTTGTTTTTTTTTTCATTATTATAGCTATAATCTAGGATGAGCTGAAAACGGATTTATTCGTAAATTAATAATTTGTTTTTTTTTTTTCATTATTATAGCTATAATCTAGGATGAGCTGAAAACGGATCCACAAAGGAAATATCATCGGAACAAACAGATGAAATGTACGGCTGAATAATGTACCGTGAAGAGGTGATCTCGCGTTATCATTGTTATGACACAGCCCGAGGGGAAGGATGCAGTATGGTAAAGGAGGATAGAAGATACGGAACGCTCGAGAAGATGCATGTACAGGTAATAAAGATCTTTACATACGCGTTGCCTTACAAAGACTTTCCATCAAAATTGATCCATCTCCTTTAAAGATATATATTTTGCAAAATTTCACATCCGTTATACGCAAAATATGAGCAAAATGTAACAGAATATTGAGAAATAGGAGAATTACTAGCTTTTGTTATATAATTTAAAATTCTATGGAATTTAATTTAATTTTAATTAAAGATTTAGCTAGCAATACTTTTTGTGTGTAGTTAAAGTTCATAAAAGTCTCTTATTTTAAAAATAAATTAGAATTTAATTAAACGTGTGTACAGATTACTAGTATCTCGCTTTGGCATCATAAAAACGCACAGCTGCAATAAGAAACAGAAGTGGAGACGGACACGTGTGCGGAAGGATACGCGGTCCACATCCGGCCCGCCATCCTGGCGGCATGGTCCTTTGGGCCACAATACTATTCCTCCAAGGAGCTGGATTCGTAGGTAAACAAAAAATCACATGATTACGCATAATAGAAAATAAAAAGAAACTTTTTTATAAAAAAAATACCATATACTATACAATAATCGACATAATAAATCTCTATAGGATAGTGAAATTTAATCTTTCATTTAGTTTTAAAAGAGGCAAAATTTTTATTTCAAGCTTAACTAAAATATCCTTTCTGGAAGCGGATATATTATCAAATAATGACAAATATATTCTCTGTTCACAGGCTCGGTGACAGGCATTCCCGGCGTCCCGGAAAACATAACGGTGATGTTCCTGAATCCGACGTCCGTACGTGTCTCTTGGAGCACCAGCCAGGTTGAGCAAGTCGAAAAATACGACGTCACATACAAACCAACCGATGCCAGGTGCGTTCTAATAATTCCGATATTGTGAATCGATTCAGATTTTCATTTCACGATGCACAAACAGCATTTGAAAAAAGTACCATTTCCATTTCCGTATTCTGTTTATTCTCGTATCGATATATCTTTTAAGAAAAACGAAAATTTTTCGATGAAAATACGCTCAATTTGTGTTAATCACTTGTCTTCGTAATGTTTTTAGCAAGTTATCGTTCTTTATAGGTCACATACAAACACGGATATGATTCACGAAAGGTATGATTTGTCAGATGATATTGATGTTTGATGGAAGAAAGTTTTATTTATTCATAATTCAAAGAGATAATCATGGAATTAATCATTGGATACTTTATTTTCCATCTATTTTATGCACGCGCGCGCGACATAATTAGAAAAATTGACATAATGAAAAAAGAGTAATACAAATTTTTTACCATGTCTTAATCTTCTTCAATCTACATTTTTTTCTAGCTTCCATTTTTTTCACGCATTACATGATTTAAAATTGAAACATTGACATATATGTTTACGGATTGCATTGTGTTACGACAAAATGCCGCAATGCAGACATTTAGGCTTCGAATATAGAATATACATATATATGTAAAAAGTTTAACAACTGTGCTATATATATATATATATAATGTAGCAATCTATGCTAAATATACCGATGTTTATTATTGAGAAAAAAATTAAAAGAATAGTAAGTCGAATTTGTGCATGCAAATCGTGATACGCGTGTGCCTGTGATCTCGTGTTTATCGTGTTTAATGTAAAAACATATATATTATATGCCATTGGTGTTTCTTTTAATTGCCAGGGATTTAAATATAACTGCATATTCCCTTCAAAAACTAAAATATTGAAGTGACATTTATTATATAAGTCATCGAGTTAAAATTTCATATATGAATAGAATGTATAGAATGTTCGTAATTATTATTATGTAAACAGCAAACAAAATTTTTCATTTTTTTCTCTTTATTATCATTCATATCTGTCTTCAAATTTTCTTAATTTAAAGATTTTTAATTAAAGAGATTTTAATTAAAGAGGAAAAAACTAAAACCTGCACAAAATTTTAAAAAAGTATATTAGAGAGTGAGTGAAGATATATTAACAGAACGTTATCAGAAATTATATTTTTTTCTTAAATGACATTTTAATATTCTGATAAATTACAATACAAATGACTATTTTAATGTCCCGGACAAAATTTATATATTCTTAAATAGATAAAATTACATTCGATAAAGTTGATAAAATACAAATTATTCAAGCATGACAAAATAATGAAAGTAAGCGAGCTTTTATCAAAGTGTTTGATGTAATATCGTACGCGATGCATTTCAGCGAAAAGAAAAAAAATAATTTAAAACCGAATAAATTCTAATCCACGTGATTCGCGTGTTTCCTTTCCGCATCGACAGATACATTGCAACGTCCGGATAAATTACATCGTGATGATAAATTTAGACCAGTTACGGATTTATAGAAAAGAATGAGCGAGATAGTGAATTTATCAATATCGACAGTACCGGATGTAATCTATACAGATTCGAAGAGGGCTCAATATTAATTGAGATTTTTGCCTCTTTTTGCGGCACAGGAATTACTACAGGTATATCAAACTTTTTCGTCAAACGACATATTTCTTTTCCTCATAACTAACGAATGTTAATTAAAGAGATGCCATATTGTAACGATGTGTATAGAGTATATAGCAAATACTATGCTAATTAATATCAAGAGAGTTTAAATATTATATTTTGTATGCGTGTAAGAGAGAGATATTTCAATTAGATTAATAGAAGTAATTCATGTTCATATTTTTTGCTTCTTAATTTCAATGCATAAAGTGAGTTATTTATACTTTGCAACATCAATTTTGCAACATCAAAGACTACTATATAAAATATTTTATTTATTGGTAAAATCATCAGCAAAATTGCTCCGTTTATAAAGTGTACATTTATTTAATAATGAAATATACTGTATTTGTGAATTGAGTTTCTCAAATTTCACAAAATAGCATGCCATTTAAAACAGATATCGTTTAAACCGATTTATTGTGGAAGTGAAAATGAATAAGACAAATTATACGTTATAACGAAATTTTTATTATTTGCAATATATTACAAGGAAATTTTTTTTATAAAATTTAAGATTATTTTACATAACAAAAAATGAAGCATTAATAATTCTAAAAGAAACTAGAATATCACAAAAGTATTAATAAAATCATGAAACAAAAATATTGCAGAAACATTGAAATTTTGATTTTATATTTTAAAGTTTTAAAATATTCTAAAATTATAAAATATAAAATATCTTTTATAAAATATAAAATATAATTATATAAATATATTTATATAAAAATGATATTAATATGAATTTATATTGTACATATTTTAATTTAATACATTAATAGTACATATTAATTGTACTATTAATTATATTATATTAATTGTATTCATTATATTAATTGTATTACTGTGCAAATATATGAAAGTAACGATAAGTAATTGAAAGAGAGATTTAAAAGTAACAATATATCAAGAAGATAATAGAACTGAAATTAAATAAAAAATATGTAGAATTCAACTCGTGTGCAAACCAATTGAAAAATTGTTAAAATTCTGACAAGCGTGAAATATAGGAACGTGGTGTCAAGTAGGCCAAGCGAAAATATTTAGAATCAAGTTTTTAACTTTAAAAAAAAAACAAATTTTCTAGTAAAATAAATAGTAAAATTGTTAGCAAAAAATATTGCTACATTTCAATATTCAACATAAGGTATCGAAATAAGTACTAGAAAATATGAATATATTGTTTGAAAAATTTTCTATTAAAATAAAATTTATTTAAGTAATTCTTTTCTAGCAAACACTAAAATATTTTATTTTTACCAATATTTTCCTAATTATCTCTATTTTCACTCTTGAAGAGAATTTGATTCGCAAATATTTGCAGAATGATTGACACAATCAAATATCGACATAATCCAAAAATTGTTTTTTGTTAAAGAAAATCAATTCCAAAAGAGATATATTTAGATATATCCTATAAGTTAGTTTATTGTAAAATATGAGCATGAGATTGCATGATCTATTGCATCATATTTTTGTCCATTTAAATATGATTTTTAAAAAATTAGAAAAACAAGAGTCTCTTACAAAAATGCACAGTATCGATCTTTTCCGCAATAAGACAGTCTAAAGCTATGGTCTCGTTATATAAAATTCATTGCATGTACTTAGGCTGGTCAGATTACAGTTTTATGTAACAACGAAAACACATGAGAGGGGATATTAAATAGGTTAATTGCAGTTAGAGAACACTTAATATAAGCAGCTTGAGACTTTGTTTTCATTCACTTTTCAATTGAACTATTTCTACTTTATTTGTTTTAAGAGAGTTTTATGTTATTCTCAACATGTATCAACAGGAAGCAGAATCCATATATGCAGTGCATATATATATATATATATATATATATATATATATATATATTCCTATTCTTTAAAGATGATAAATTACATTCTCTCTACATTATATATATATATATATATATATATATATATATATATATATATACAAAATCTTTTATTTATTAAAATAATTCATAAAACTAGATTTTATTTTTTAATATGTTGATAAAATATATATTGTAATCAATTTCATAAAATAAAAAACTATCATGAATTAAATTTATAGATTAAAATTTTTATGATAATAATCAATTAACAATCATACATATATGAAAATAAATTAAAATAAATATGAAATGACTATAAATAAAAATAAAATTAATATAAATCAAACACTAGTATGCATCTAGATAATAGATTTTATTGAAATATTAAAATTATATACAATAATACGAAATAATATACAAAATTATATACCAATATATTATTTGTATATTATATAAATATATTGTAAATAAGTTGTTTTACGATGATTTTCGTCGCTTTTGTGCTTACACTTTTTATTCATGTTTTCTGACTGGTTGGTTTCTGTTTGTGTCATTTCGGTCTTTAGCAAGATGATTTCGAAAGCGCACGCAAACTGTATATATATATATATATATATATATATATATATATATATATGTGTGTGTATATATATATATATATATATATATATATATATATATATATAAAGTTATATTTATATTTATCTTTCCTTTCCGAGTATATTAATCTATCAGAGAAATGAGAAATTTTATAACTGGAAATAATTACATATAACAACAGTCGAAAGTTAATTATTTTAATATTCTCTGTATACACATCAATGTCAATGTTTTGCTTTAGTGGAAATTAGTTGTTCCTTGAATTAACTAAATTTAATTACTATTCTCAGTTTTATAAAAGCAGCATCTACTAATTCTTTTTTAATGTTTTCCAACAATTTATATATTTTTTTAAAACATTTGATTTTAAAAAGAGAAGTTATTTCAGACGATGTCAGATATATGTAATTCTTAAAATAATATAATAATTTAATTTCTATTACCAACACACAGAAAATTTTTAATTGTAATTATTTCTGAAAATAAGTAAGGTAAGAAAATCTTCGAGAATCTTTATTGCTTAGAAATTTTTATACTTGGAATATTTCCATAGGTCGATCTTAATCAAGATATTATGTATAAGCGACCGTAAGCGTAACATTGAATCATAACGGCAAGGTGGTTAGTTACAGGGTGGTGGCGGTGGTCGCAGGAAATAGCGAAGCGGTCACCTTGAGCAATCTTCGGGCTGATACACAATATCAGCTGGTCGTAACCGCCGTGAGAGCTGGAAAGAAGTTTCGAAGTCGACCGATCGTCTTCCGCACACTCGGTAAGCTTTGCCTTCGTAAGCTTTACCTGTCTCCGGCATCACGGTCACATGTGACAGGTGCGTTTCTGATAAAGAAAAAATATTTCTCTAATATTCTGTGTAGTAATCGTAAACGTCCGTCACGATGCTTTCGTAGTTACTTATTATTACTGCGCAGTTATTTATTATTTATTTAATCTTTTAATAAAAAACTGTAAGCTATGTCATATTTCGGAATATTTTCGTTTGCGATTTATAATACATTTCCGTAAATGTATTTGCTTTTTATTTGTTCTATTTTTTCATCGATACAATCTCTTAATAATTTGTGTATATAAAAATATATTTAAATAAAGATATGTATTTTATATAAAGTAAATTATTAAAGAATTCCGACTAATTAATTTGAAAATATAACGGTATATAAAACAAACTATTTCTTAAAAATGCTTTTTTTATTTTCTTGGCGATTCAATATATTAAAAATATTAAATTTTAGTTTAATTATTAGTTTCACAAAATCCAAAAGTTTTCATTTAATTTGATACAGTTCGTAATTCTAGAATACATAAAAAAAAATAGTATATGTAACTATGTGCATATATAACAGAGAAATCTCTTCATAATAAAAATATTTGTCTGCAGAATTTGATCTAGAATTTCATTTAGTTTTATTTTGGAAACATCGAGTTTACAATATCGTACAGATTAAATTCAAATTGAAGAGAGAATTCATTTCCCGGAAATTTTAAATCATCATTTTTTTTGCTTTTTTGCTTAAATTTGTTAATCATATATAGTACAAGAAGTAATTTAGGAAAATTTATCAGTCATTTTCCGACGTAACACTATCCAGCATAAATCACGTAAAATCTCACGGCGATGATATATACGACGTGATCTGACATGAAGCGATTATGGTGTAAACGAGCTTGTATCATTTTCAGAACCACCACGCACGTCTCCGCAGCAAGATGCAGCGGTAACTGGTGGTCCTCTTCCTCCACCTCCACCGTCCTCGCAACAACCCCAACCGTATATACAAGTAAGCTATTTTTTCCTAAGCGACACAATTTTGCTGAAAGTTTATTATCTTGTACTAAAAATGCTTATATCGTTCCAACAAATAATCCGCTGATTCATTTATAACAGTGATCGAATAATTTAAAAAATTTTACTTAATTTAAATTCATATATAAATATCATGATCAAGAATTTTCTTAAATATTACATGAAACTGAAAAGACAATATAATACTTTCAGAAGAAATAAATTTGTTATTTTATAAAATATCGACAAATATGGAAATAAAGGAACAGAAGAAAAATGTAGTTGAATAAAGCGACGCTTCTTTTATTTCTATTTCAATATTTCGCAGCTTTCGTCGAATACGATTTCCAAGAATATCAAAATAAATTTAAAAACTTTCTTTCTTTTCGTATATTCTCCGCACAAATACATAATTTAGAATAATTATACAATTTTTTGCGAAGTAAATTTTACATCAATGTTCAGAACTATATGTATATATGTTGTTCGATAAAATCAATAATGCAAAGCGTTACTCACGAAGGAGGGTAGATAGACAATTTATCATCTAGTGGAATCTAAAATCATTTTACGAGAAAAATGAAAAAAGAAAATGTGCGAAGAGACAAGAATAGCCGCGAAACTTTTTCAAACCTAATCAAGGCGAGAAGAGATCGCAACTTTTCTGCGACAAAGTGTGTCTGGAAATTATATTTCTTTTTTAACTTTTTATCGCATGAAGGAGAGAAAGAAAGATATTCATTTTTTAAACGCTCGATGAAGAGTTAACAATTAACATCCATTTGTCATTCGATGAATCTCTTAATAAATGCGAATATGCTGAACATGCGAATGTTAAAAACATGTTAAAAAATTATGTATAAAGACGTTATTACATAAAATATCTTTATACCTCAAATTAATCAAAACGTCGCGACGTATTCCGTTTACAGATTCGCGGCGTCGAGGTGGGCATAGTAGTGTTAGTGCTGATAGTTTGGGCGGGCGCGATAGCGTTATTCTTCAATCGCTGGGGCAAGATCCGAATGCTGCTGCCTTATCAACCCGACTACAAAGAGCAGTTGAAAGTCCCTGGCACCGGAGTGTGCACGGCCACTAATTCTGCGTATACGCAACACCCGACGCAACACGCGTGCTCTCAGGTAACGCATAGGTATATTGCATCTGATATGATGCAACGAGCCTTCCTGCGCTCGCGCTGTATAATATAAACCGCGCCCAGGTAGCGTTTAAAACTGAAATCCGGCTGATCCATCTATCAGATATTTATGCTCGAGAGACAGAAGAAAAACAAATTAGAAATTTTCTTTTGCTACTAAAAATTGTTTTAAAAAATATATCTTTTATATGAAAAATATTTTTCATGTCGAATATTTTATATATGTATAGGAAATACATCTTTAGAAGGATGTACCTTCGCAATCTAAAACCATTTAAATAGCACTTGAAGATTTCTAAATATGCTCTATTGAAACTCATATATATATATATATATACACATAAAAAATTTCATTAAAATTAAAATTTCAAAACCGCTTTTCTTGCAAACCGAATAATTTTCTTTTAGATTTTAAAATACTGAATTATTATACATATTTTTATGGCACAATCAATCAGTGTAGATAATCAATTTTTTATAGATTTTTTAATATCATCATATAATCAATTAAAAAAAGAAATAATATCAATATTTTTTTAATATGGAATTTTTTTTCGAAAATTCTATCGATATTTGAAATCGTGTAATGTAAGTATACATTCTTAGCATAATAACATTAAAATATATCGGGGAAAAACGATTGAAAAAATAATTTACAATCAAATGTGCGGGCCTCCAATTTAAATATTACAGGTTTCAAGAAAAATACTTCGTTGAAAGTCCTCATATTTATGCAAAATGTGAATGTTAATGTAATGTGGGTGGGTATATAAGTTCTCGATTTACGAGATTAAATCAAATCGAATCGAATCGACATCGAATGTTTGATATTCGTTCTCTCGAAATTTTGAAGTTCACGTGATATCGGCATTTCATATGTATAAGATTGAAGCGATGTGCATGTATGATTTCCATTATGCATACGACGGGTTTTGCGCGATGTAAACGGATATATAGTCATTGAGAATACAAAATTAGAATAATACCAACACACGATCGGAAATACGCGGATATAAAGGCGCAAACGTAATAGAGCTATCGCATGTTATTAACATGCCACAAATTCTGGTTCATTCGCGAAAGCATCGTATTCGTGCAAGGGAATTCAACCATGTACGCATTGCAGCTTGAGATAGGAATTGCTGAGAATACGTCTTCTAGATTCTATCATAAATTCTAATATAAATTTTATCGATTTAAGCAGTGAAAAAATATTTAAGCATAATTAGTTTAAAATTTTATTAATGAACCAAAAATTATAAAAAATTTAAATATTCATGCATTAATAATTTAAACTTTAACAATAAACGATTAAAAATTAAATTATTTTAATGGATTAATCTTTTCAAATGTAAATATTATAAAATTCTTTTTTTTAATTAGTTTTAATTGATTTTGGAAGTATAATCCAACTTGAACTTGAAATATAATTATCAAAAAATAATTAATATTAATTAATATTTACCAGAGAAACTTAATTTTGGAGAAACTTATCGGCAAAATATATATCAATTAATTATTTCAATACTAATTTTTATTCATGCGTTATTCTTTCGCATATATAAGTCATAACATTTTACAAATGTATATGAACCGTCTAAAATGTTTGTTTTGTGATATATTATATAATATAATAAAAAATAGAACTTTTCTTTGAAATGTTTTAATAATTAAAATATGAAGTAAATTTAATTTTAAATTCTCTATATATATATATATATATATATATATATATATATATATCTACATATATATCTGTCTGTTTTTCATATATTTATGTTATATTTAAAATACACATGAACATTGTAAATCTGCAATTGATATGGCCGCGTGTTTGATTAGTACATCTTGTTAATATAATAAATCAATAATAAACTGCTGACGGGTAAAGTTTATTGACTATTAAACTAAGCATTTGATTTGCAAACTAACTTTAACTGTAAAGCTGTTTTACTCGGTTTGTGCGATTATTTGATTCATGGCGAATTGTTTGTTTCGTATAACAAAACTGCTTTTGCTCGGGTCAAGTTTGACGTCACGGCAAAATTACGATCGGGGATTCAAGATGAAATAATTAATTAATCGGAATATTAGAATTCAATATTGCTGACTAATAATCTATCTGCATAATTTGAATACATCTCGGAAATGAAAAACGAGAACTTATAACAATTTCCATTTCGGTCGTACGAAAAAAAACTAAAAAACTTGAGTCATCGATTTGATCTCCTATGGACCATTTAATTGCGATATTGAATAATCATCATAAAAAAGAAATGATCATAACGATTTTATAGTCAACATTTTATCAATTGTTCTTTTATATCGAAGTCGAAAGTTAAATTATCGGGTGTTTACAAATTCATTATTCTCGAAAATTTTTTTTATAATATTTTTTATTATTGTTTTTGTATAGAAACAATTTCCAATAACATGATTTCAATATATCGTTTTAGAGATTCGATCTCTTTTAACCGTTATGTATCCACTACATATATATTTATATTATAATTTCTTTATATTATATTTTAAACTTTCTCCGATAATTTTTAACAACCTCATTTTATGAATTCAAAGTCCTCAATTATCACCAATATAGCTCTATATAATACGGATTATTCATATTTTTCTATTTGATAACTTTCGATTTTCAAACAGTTGTTTTAATGTATTTAATTTATTAATTAATTAACACAAATCCAATGAAATGCGCAATTAAAATTTCCGTGTGTATCGTCGTATACATTGCTTTTGTAGAACGCGCATGTTCATATTGAAAATTTGAACATTAGTAGATATGAGTATGTTTACATTAATATAGCTAAATATATATAGAGCAAATAAATATACGTAATTTTTGTTGATCTTGATTAATTAATTGTTGCTAATTAGAGTGGTCGAAAGTTTGGAAGCTTCTGCAACACCTATCAAGCTTCGATGCAGTAACAGATATATTATCGGGTATTTAACGCTATTGCTGTTATATATATGTATAGGTCTCATTCAGCAGATGCAGTATCGCGATTACATAACAATGCAATTACCTATTAATAGACGAGCTACATTGCTTACAATATTGACTAGAGATCAAAATGACAATGCAATAACTTACATCTTCATATATGAATCGAAAGTTAATTTGGAATAATAGACAATTTTTTTGGTATATTGTGAGTCGAGTGAATATAAATATTAAAAATAAATTAAATTGTAAAATTGATAAGTAATTGTTATTACTTTGAGGCAATTCTTTAATTTTTATTTTATAATTATTATTAAATTTTAATTTTATTAAAAAGATTATTATAAATAAGAGTGTCTAATCATTAGAAAATTATACTCAAAATATCATTAAAGAATTATTAAAGTTTATATTCGTAATATAAAAAAATGAATGATATTTGATGTTTATAATGCATACTAGATTATATTCGATTATTAGTCCTTTAAAGCAGTGCATATTATAGATGCATTGTTATAGAAAAGATATTCATGTTGATAAGTTTTTAATATTTTTATGATGAGAGATCGTAGACATTGCCGTTATAATAGGTTAAATAGAGTTTCGAGTTAAAATAAAAGCTAGAAAAAGTGGAATATTTGATATTATTTCATTTTTTTCATGATTATTTCATTACTTCATTTTTTCACATTTTCGCGAATATATTTTGATTTATTGAACAATTTTTACTTTTTTATTTTAAAAGTTTCGTTGATGGAAGAGATGTTTATAAAAAGAATTTTCATAAATTATATAAATTAGTAACAAATCCATTTCTAATTCATTATTTCTTACATGCATTTTTTGTATGCGGTAACATTGTACAATATGTATTAGGCAACACGGATAAAACTTATATTCTATCGAGAATTACAAAAGAAATGAATGATGTTTATCTATCTCGTGAAAATATTACTGAAAGATATCTTTTATTCCATTCTCCCTCAAATAATCATTAAACTATTGATAATTAAATTGTTTTAATTTAATTGTAATAGATTTAATGGAGTTTAGCAAAAAAATTTTTTAAATGTCTAAGAGATGATTTAGAGCTTTATATTAAGGTTCAAAAATGTTGCCGCATTTTTTAGAATAAATTATTTAAAGAAAAATTTATATCATCAATTTAGTGCTAGATATCTGAATAATTTGTGTAGTTAATTTAGTAAATAAAATAACTTATATTGTAATTTTATTTTTACAGAGTTAATTCCTTTTAAAGTAATATCTATTTTGCGATGCGATTATATTTTTAATATTATTGAATTATCATATACGGTTATTTTTCGGTTAATAATAAATTTAATGAAAAATAATATCAAAAGTGACTAAATTGACGATCAATAAATTTTTTTTCTCATTATTAAGTACTAAATTCAACTTCATTAGTATAGTAGTAGAGAACCCAGTAGTAAGAAATTAAACAAAATAATAATGCATATGTATCTTTAATGTAGTATAGCATCCACATTCCTCAAACAGTCATTAGCTACATTAGTCACATAGCTATAGTCCGTAAGATTAATTAATAATTTCAATTAACACAATTTAATTCTATTGATCTCTTCTGTTCCTCTTTTCTATCTCCACGTCGTTTCTTCGGATTGACTGCACGAAATTCGCGAATATCGACTGGCGCTACATACGATTACCGGTACTACTCTCCCATATACTGTTCTGCGCTGCGTGTGTGTGTATGCCCTCCCCCTGACCACACTCTCGTGTTACATTCGGTGGATTTTACACACGACTATGAAAAAAAACAAAACAAAAAAACGACAAAATATAATGCGCACAAAACGAACGAACGAAAACGACGGAAGGTAATGACCACATTGTCGGATATGGTGATGCAGTGCGGGGGCGGGGGCTGCTGCGTCCTGGAGCAGTGCTTTCAGTACCCTAGAAGAGCCCGAGAGCCCCGGGACTGCGGCTGCCAATTCGCTCTACTCCACAGGGCGGACATCGCGTGACCATCGGTA